CCCAAGAACCTGGAGGGCCACCAGTATAAGTCCCAGAGTACAAAGGCCAGAGAATCTGGACTTCTTATGGCTAAGGGCAAGAGAACATAGGTGTGTCAGGATGAGAAGGGAGAGAAAATTCACCTTTCCAATACCTTTTTATTGTATCTAGGCTCTCAACTGATTAGACAGTGTGCAGCCACACTGGATGAGGGCAGATCTTCCTTACTCTACCCACTGATTCAAATGTCAATCTCTTCTGGACCACCCTCATAGATAGATTAAAAAAAATAATGCTTTCACAGCTACCTGGGTATCCTTAACCCAGTCAAATTGACCCATAAAAATAACCATCACACAATGTTTCTCTAATGTATATTATCACATGTATGGTAAAGTATGAAGAATAAATGAAGGATTTTTCATATTGTTTATAATCATAGAGGCTGTTTTCAGGGTTTGTACTCACATTTCTATCAGAAGAGAAGGGCAAACTGTATACTTGGTCATCTTTCTTACATTTATAGGGCTCTTTTATGGTTTATTCTCATTTGAACAGGAAGTTTGAGGAATAAATGGAGGCTTTTCTTCATTCTCTATATTCATAAATCCTCTCACCAATGTTAGTTCTTACAAGTACAGTAAGAGATGTGGAAGAAATAAAGGCTATCTACATTCTTTTATATCCATAGGGTAAATTACAATACAAGTTATCACATATGCTCTAAAGGATTAGGGGCAACCAAATGTTTTTCCACATTTTTATGTTAATAAGATTTCACTTCAGTGATAGTTTTCACATGTTTTCTAAGAAATTAAAAGAAATGGAAAGCTTTTTCACATTTCTTATATCTCCTCCACTGTGAATTCTTTCCTTTTTTTGGCAATGGAGTCTCACTCTGTCACCCAGGCTGGAGTGCAGTGACATGATCTTGGCTCTCTGCAACCTCTGCCTCCTGGGTTCAAGCAGTTCCCCTATCTCAGCCTCCTGAGTAGCTGGGATTACAGGTGCACACTACCATGCCTGGCTAGTTTTTGTATTTTTATTGCAGATGGAGTGTCACCATATTGGTCAGGCTGGTCTTGAACTCCTGACCTCAGATGATCTACACACCTTGGCTTCCCAAAGTGCTGGGATTATAGGCATGAGGCACTGTGCCCAGCCCACTGTGAGTTCTTACATGTACATCAATAAGTGAAGAATGAACAAAGGTTTGCTTACATGTATATTCACAGAATTATTCTCCAGTGTGAAATTTTTCATGATTCCTAAAATACAGAGAACACATAAAGGGTTCCCTATATTCCTTGCTTTGATAGGATATGTGTCCAGTGTATGATGCCATGTGTGTTTTAACGAATGAAAGATCAACGAAGACTTTCTTGCATTCACTGAATTAATATAATTTCCCTGCAGCATGAGTTCTCTAGTGCACATTTAGATTTGAAATCTGTCAGAGATCTTTTCACGTTTATTAGTCTCATTATCTTTGTCTCCAATTTGGAGTATTTTCTACAGAGTAGATACCAAGATCTTTTTGAGAGATTTTCAAATTTGGTTATATTCATAGAGGTTCTTCACCATATGAATTCTCAAATATATGTCCTCTGTCTTGTGCTGATCCATCTATGTCATGGCAAAAAAATGGGGATTACATAATTGAAAGTTTTTTATATTGTAGCTTAAGTTGTATAATACTAATTGAAGGTAGACCATGATAAGAAAAGGCCATCCATATATTGTCATCCTTAGAAGAAATACTCCTGAAACTGTTGTAGCTAAAAATTCAACTAAGAATATACAATGGAATATGAAAAATATATAATCAAGTCAAAAGAAAAGAGAAAATGAGGAGCAAAGGAATGAAAATGCAGGGTACGAATAAAAATTGCAATAGAGATAATCATATTATAAATAATTGCATTACATATAAATAAAATAAACTCTCTAATTTAAAAGCAAACATATTAACACCAGATAAAATGCAAGATTTAATGCTACGTTGTTTTAAAAAGATGCTTTTTAAATATACGGACAGGTTGAAAATAAAAGGATGAAAAAATATATCATGCAAACCTTAAGTATAAGACATGTGGGCTGACTATATTAATATCAGACAGAGTAACTAGAGACTAAAAGGGACGTTTTATAATAATGAATGTCAATTCATCAAGAAGCTATTTATTGTGCATGTAATAACAGAACTTTAAAGACATGAGTTTAAAAACATGATAGAACTGAAAATAATTAAAAAAATTCACAATCACAGGTGAAGAATTTAACACTTTTATCCTAGTAATTGGCAGAACGTAGAAAGAATGTTAAGAATAAAGAAGATCTAAAAACATTATCAAGTGACTTGATTTAATATTTATAGAATACTCAACTAACAACTGTAGATTACACATTTCTTTCAAGTACACAGGGAGAACTCACTATGGTAACTTACATGCTGAATATATCAAAAACTTTATCTTTGGATATTTAGAAATTAAGCAACTCAATTATAGTCAAGTAATGGATCAAAGAAGAATAGTTCAACATGAATCGCAATAAAAACAACATACCCAAATTCGTGAAATACAACCTAAGTAATATATAGGAAGAAATGTACACCTTTAATTTATATTTTATATATTTTAATGTATGTTAGAAAAGAATCGATCTTTCAGAGAAGCTAGAAAAAGAAAACTAAACTCAAAGTGTGTAGAATAAAAGAAAAACAGAAGAGCAGAAATCAATAAAATAAGAAACAAAAAGTAGTCAAGGAAAGGTAGTTTATACCTGTAATCCTAGCATTTTTGAAGGTTGGGAGGATTGCTTAAGCACAGGAATTTGAGGCTAACCTAGGCAACATAGTGAGACTCTGTCTCTACAAAAATTTAAAAAATTAGCTGGATATGGTGGCATGCACCTGTAGTCCTAGCTATTCAGAAGGCTGAGGCAGTTTTTTTTGTTTGTTTGTTGTGTTTTGTTTTGTTTTGTTTTTTGACAGAGTTTTGCTCTTTTGCCCAGGCTAGAGTGAAATGGTGCCATCTCGGCTCACCACAATCTTTGCTCCCCAGGTTTAAGTGATTCTTCTGACTCAGCCTACTGAGTATCAGAGATTATGGCTGCCCACACCACACCTGGCCAATTTTTGTATTTTCAGTAGGGACGGGGTTTCACCATGTTGGCCATACTGGTCTCGAACTCCTGACCTTGGGTTATCCACCTGTCTCGGCCTCCCAAAGTGCTAGGATTATAGGTGTGAGCCACTGTGCCTGGCCTCAGGAGGATCTCTAAAGCTAGGGGTTTGATGTCACAGTGAGCTATGATTGCATCACTGTACTCCAGCCTTTCTTTCTCTGAAAAAAGGAAGAAAACAGAAAGTAATAGGGAAAGCAATAAAACCAATGCTTGGTTTGTTTTAAAAATTAATAAAACTGAAATACTGATAGCAATACCAATAAAGACAAAAGGAGGAAAAACATAAATTACCAATATCCATAGTGAAAGGGGGCCTCACTACAAATTCTAAATACATTGAAAGATGAGTGAGAAATATCATCAATAGCTTCATAACAATAACTTCAACATTTTTGATAAAATAGGCAAATTTGCTTAAAAAGCACAAGTTGCCAGCTGAAAGAAGAGGAAACAGAAAATTAGAATTGCAGCATATTTATTTAAGAAATTGAGTATGCAATTCAAAATCTTCTCATAAAGAAAATGTCATTCATGGTTGGTTTCTGCAATAAATTCTATCAAATACATAAAATAGAAACAATAACTGTCTTACATAAACTCTTTCATAAAAGAAGGGGAGAAAACAATTGCCAAGTCATTTAATGAGGCCAGGAGAACCCTGAAACTAAATCCTGGCAAGGGCATTACAAGTAAAACAATGTAGATCTACATCTCTCATGAATGTAGATGCACAAATTCTGAACAAAATTATCACACTGAATTTACCTAGTAGCTTATATTTTTCACATTGCCACATGTCACCTGGAGGAAAACCATATAAACAATTTTCCTGGACAATCATGATCATGCAGGTACTGAGGAGTCCCAGTCTGCAGGACTTTAGCTCATGAGATCTGCTTGGATGTCTTTGTATTCTTCCATCGTTGGTCCTGCTACTCCATATTCGAAATAGGACTTGCTTCAGATTTCTTTGCTCAAATTCCAGCTGTGGCCATCATTGCTACCACAGTGATGTTCACTTGAACTTGTAAGTGGGAAACAACAAACAACTGGGACAAGGGTGAAGCAAGTAACTCAGATGCAAATTTTAAGTTATTATCCAAAAACTTGGAGAAAAATACTATTTGTTGCAATACTCTAAAAATTAAACTGTAATGTAAACACCCATGAGAAACAAAATATGAAATTTTAAGTAAAGACAGGAACCACCTTGCTCTTGCACACATTTGCCACATTAACCTCACCCTCATCCTGTCAGATCCTATTGTCAACTTTGTTTCCTGATCTCGCTGGGGGAAAAGTTACCATACCTACTTCACCGCTCTTACCCTGGGCTGCTCCTTCAAGGCCAAAAAGGTCACGAAATTCTAAATCCAATAATGTTGGGATTGTTCAATTTACAAGAGATAATTTCCTTTCATTTGAAAATATAATCTCTTCTATAATATGTTGCCAATGCTAACTTTATTAAATATATTCATAGATTAAAGAAAAAAAATCTTAATGTGGAAAAGTTTTGGAAAAGCAAGGTTACTCTGATAATTATCTCTGCACTTTGTTGCCACTGTCTAATAAAGCCACCCACCAGAGACACACACATATACAGGCACAAATACGCACACACACAAATATACAAACCACTCTGGGGCTTCGTGTATTTGTAACTGAAGTACTCTAAAATTGTTTGAGACATCACCATTTATGTATTATGATAGATTTTTGTTGATTATTTTGGTGACTATGCTGATAATGGGAAGTAATGCTCTCCTCAAGGTATTCCAGATCAGTCCAAGGAAGACAAAAGTATTAATGCTTTAGAGAGACCTTTAAATTCTAGATTTTACCAATAAAACGTTTATTAAATAAGATACAAAGGGAGTAGTACACATTGGGATCTATAGGCCTGTTTCAAATCATGCATTTCTATATGTGAGAAGGTTGTCAGGAATTAATCAAATATGTTACTTGGAAAAGGCAAGAGAAAGACCAAATCTAAAAGTAGTAGTAATGAGCTTTCTTCTCTCATATGATATACAAATTAATATTATCTTGAAAATAACCATCATTGCCACAAGTGACAGGGACTACTAAAGATTGAGTCCTAATGGTAATACCCTAGAGGAAATGGTATTTACTGTTCTCCAGCCATTCATATTCATAATGGGGGCTGCAAGTGTGGTACAAACTTTTGAAAGTCCTAGAATTCACAAGAATTTTTCATTTGTTTGTGATTATGCTGATAACCAGAAGCAATACAGTTATCAAAAGCCCCGGTCAGTCAGATAATGATTCCTGCAGTCAGAAACACAGAAAGCTCAACAAGAAATTCATGTATTTAAGTCATTTTGCCGTTACATCTCTTCCTATGACATACTATTAAGGGGGCATCTAGGTGTGTAAGAAAAACATCCACTTAAAAAGATGCTAATGGCTACTGTGCTGGCTAAAATGAATGTTCTGTGGAAGATTTTGATGAAGAAATAGATGTCACAGGCCTCACTGATTTTAGTTTTTATTTTAAGAGGAAGCACCTTAACTGCCACCATTCCAGATAGTCTACTTTGTCCTCACTGGCCATCAGTTTTCTTTAGTGAGCTTAGCACTATACAGAAATTCAGCAGCAATGTTGAGTTGCCATTGTCACCTATGACCATTACACAGAAAAATGACTGGATGTTCAAAGTAATTGACCTATCATATGTTACCCTAATTGTGGAGAAATTTTTTTTAATATTTGCAGACACATAAAACACAAGAATTATGGGAAAAAGATTAAATGAGATACTCTAAATTTCAAATCATTGGTGTTGGTGGATACTGACACATGCAGATATGCATTTGCCTCCCCTCTTACAGGGAGTGCACATATCTTGACCTCACTGAACTCACGTGAAACAAATGGGAGCAGTCATGTTCTTAAACCAACAGACACAAACCTCCTGCTTCCTAGCCCTAGTTTGGAGTTGATATAAGCCCACCAGTATTTCCAAACTTGGTACCAGAAAAGGTGTGAGTCAACTTACAATAATTTTAACATAACTTTTAGGCTCCTGAAATATAAGTGCATTTTTCCCCATGTGAAAGAAGCTGGTCTGCAGTAAAAAGGGAATGAAACCAGCAGGATAGAAAAAATGTTCTTTTAAGTTTTTGTTTGTAATTATTACTGCCTTACTCTTCAATTGGTTTTGATTTCCAATTGTATCTTAAATTACATTATATACCCCAATAGCTTCTCAACAAATTCTATTTTTTATCTTGAGAGCTAATTTGAATTTGATTTGTGTTGATTAAAATAATTTAAACTAACAGAGATAGTAAGTTGGCAAAAGATCTTTCTGGTTATTACATTTTCTGTTACCATGAAGTATGACTTTCTAACAGTCATTTTCAATGCAGAATATAGGGGACATGCAGAAAAGCATATGCTTTTTAAACATGGTTCTGAACGTTGATGGCAGTAGTGATAATTTGAGGCATAACATTTAGGGACAGGCTAGTTGAGAGGCACAAGGTTCCTTCAAGGAACATGCTCAGGAATATCTTTAACCTCCATTCTTTGTGTCTGCCTGAATTTGGAATGTCTGCCTTCCCTGGCATGGATCAGACTTTTAACAACTGTCAGATAAAAACTTCTGGTCAGAAAGAGAACTTGGAACAGAACATGGGCAAAGTATTGCATATGCCTTTTTGTTTCAAGTCAAATGTAATATCCAAAAAATGTTGGGGTATTTCCAGAATTGCCTATTTGGACATTTTCAATCTTTTGAATATCCTTAGTTCTTGACCTGCTCATTCACATTTGAGATCACATGACACAAGAGGGTTCCCATAGCCTCCCATAGGTAAAACTTCTGCAGTGATTTCCAGGCTACCGATCCAGCATTAGAGACAATATTCTGATTATTTTTTGTTACATTTCCCAGGATAAAGTCTGCAGGGTTTTGCTCAGATTACATTTCTGTTAATGGTGTATTCCAGTGAGGCCTCTATCTGAGTTAGATTTTCATTAAACATCGCCAAAGTGAACTCTCATTGAATGTTATTTGGCTTTGTTTGGGAAAAAAGACACAAGCCTCTCCCTTAATAGATTGGAAATATACATGAAAGGGGTTTGCTATTTAGTGCCTATATTCTATTGATTTTACAGGGAAGAAATTCATTTTTACAGGAATCGGCATTGGATTAACAAAAAAAATTCATTATATTTATGTCTCCTTTGTTCTTTTGTGAAGAAAATACATCATTACAGTGTTTGTATAAGATTAGGAAAGTTATCCCAAAGATAACTCATAACACTCCATTATGACCTCATAATATACAGAGATACCTCTGCTAGCACAGCCAAGCTTTCAACTTTTAAGAAAATCTTTTCTAAAAATTCAGCCGTCAGCCAAAAAGGGATAATTTTATACACATTTAAATAGTTGTATTAACTAAATTGTCTAAAATGATACATAATTTCCATGTTTACAGTAATCAAACTAGAAATAGAAGGTCCGTGTTGCTATTTTCAATAGTGGTTTTAGAAGTTTAATTGTTTAGAGGACAATGAAGCTTATGTTTACAATACCAAAAATATAGCCAATGGGTTTCTCAGAAAACTATTGCCCTCATTTAAATTCATTTGTGGAAGAAATTCAAATTATTTTCCACTTTCCAATTGTTGGAATAAGGTACCTTCCACCTTGTGAATGCTGTCATTTGGCCACAACTACCTATATATTCCAATTGCCATTTAGGAAGAAAATAAAAGCAAGGAAGGGAAATAAAGCAAGAAGGTCAATGGCCTTAGATTAAGATCATAAAAGGCAAGTTGAGATTTATAGAAATCTCAAAGAAAGTCTCTAAGGTCTGAGAGAGAAAATAGGTAAAATGAATGGATCTGTTTATGTTGATGAGTCTCTATTCTGCTAGTTTCTAAAAAACTTATTTCACTGTCCTTAACTTTTTTATTCACTAAGAAATAATTACTTGTCACTCATGTTCAAAATTGTTCAAGGTGCTATGTGTGACATAGAGGAGAATTGGTACTTCCCCTTCCAATAGCCATAATCCACAAAAATGTATAGATTGCTGATCTGCTTATGAAGATTTTCAGAATCTATATTTAGTCAATTTTACTAAGTAAAATTTTTAGCTTTGCTACTTTCCTGCCTGTGATGGAGACAGGGTATTCTGGATTGCTGCATAAACGTCTTAGTCATCTTGCTCAGGATACCGTTAATGCAGATTTAAAAGCACACCTGACATTTATCAGTTCACTTTCTCATTCTGTTCTCCAAAACTCAACTTTGAGAGATGCTATTAGCCAGGAATATTTCTTTGAAAATTCAGTTATTTGCATATGTTTGCCAATTGTGAGATGACTAAACGATGCTATGATATTAATTGCAGTAGTTCAGAGTACTGTCCCTTGATAATATGCCAGGGAAAACAATACAACTGATGCAAGACCAAATTAGGGCTGATTTCAGGAGGGTTTTTGGCTTCATACATAAAAGAATTCAAGGGCAAGCAGGTGGTGTTAGACAACAATCTTCCATTGAAAGGGACCGCTCCGTGCTGAGCAGGGCTAACCCTTTTGCAGTTCACCGGGAGTTAGCAGTAGTAGCTTATGGGTTGTTGCCAACTGTATTAACACTCACTTACACCAACTTTTACTTACATGCAAATTAAGGGGTGAGTTAATGCAAATTGAGGATTTGGTTATTCAGAACTTTCTAGAAAAAGGGGCAATAACTTCTAGGTTGTTGCTATGGAAAAGGGCAGTAACTTCTGGCTAGCTATGACATTTGTAAATTGTCGTCATGGGGCTGGTGGGAGTCTCATGCTAATGAGAAGTGAGGGCAATTAGAGGTTGCCTTCAGCACCACCTGCTAGTTCCTGCGGGGGTAGGGGGGTTCCCTTCACTTGTGCATCACCTGCTGGTTCCTGCCAATTTCTTCATTTCATCCTGTTCTGACAGGGAAATAAGTCGTGCTGGTCTCCTACCTCACTCCTCTGACAACTGTCTCACACATCTTAAGTAAACAATTGGAACATAGTCTGACAACTGTGTAAAAAAGTAAAAGTAAAAATAAAAATCACCCGCACCAAGGAATGTGGCAATACATCCAGGGAAACTCCTGCTTTCAAGGCTTGGGACTAATCCTCTGTCGTTTGAGAGCCCAAATTAGGGCTTATCACAGGAGGGTTTCTGGCTTCACAGGTAAAAGCATGTGTCTAGTCTCTTCAGAGAGTCTTCTGTGTGATTGACTGCCCTGATTCTTTCAAGGCAGTAGAAAAAGGTTACCCTGGTATGCCTGTGGCTTTCTCTCCAGAACATGTATCCTTGGCAGTGAATCTCTCGATTTTAACATCTTTTGCAGTGTGAATCATCAGGTCCTGGTTCCTTTTTGCTTCACAGATCTTCTCTCATCTAATTCCTCTCGTTCTTTTCCTGCTCACATTTTACTATAAGCAGCAAGAAAGAAAAAGGCTGTACATTCAACCCTTTGCCTGAAAATCTCCTCAGCTAAGTCTCCAAGTTCATTGCTACATAACTACAGGACACAATTCAGGTAAGTTTTCTCTCACCATATAAAATAATTTCCTTTTCTTCCATTTTCGATAAGATTTTCCTCATTTCTGCACCCTCACCAGCAGAGACTTTAACATTCTTCTTTCCTTTCTTTCTCTCTTTCTTTCTTTTCTTTCCTTCTTCCCTCCCTCTTCTTTCTTTCTTTCTTTTCCTTCCTTCCTTTCTTCCTTCCTTTTCTTTCTTTTTCTTTCTTTCTTTCAGACAGAATTTAGCTCTGACACCAGGCTGAGTGCAGTGGCATGATCTAAGCTCACTGCAACCTCCGTCTCCCAAGTTCAAGCAATTCTACCTCAGCCTCCCAAGCAGCTGGGATTACAGGCATGTGCCATGATACCCAGCTAATTTTTGTGTTTTTAGTAGAGACAAGGTTTCACCATGTTGGCTAGGATGGTATCGATCTCCTAACCTCGTGATCCACCCACCCCAGACTCTCAAAATGCTGGGATTACAGGTGTGAGCCACCGTACCTGGCCAAAATCCACATATCTACCTACAATCTATTTAAAGTGATGTGGGTGTTCTCTAAGGCAATGTATTTCTCTACCATGCTCTTCACTTCCTTCTGAGTCCTCACTAGCAGAGTTGTTAACACCATATTTCTACTAACAGTCTATCCAAAGCAAGAGAGGCCTTTTCTGTCATGCCTGTCAAAGTTCTTCCAGCCTCTGCCCACTCTGTCCAATTCAGAAGCTACCTGCACATTTTAGGTGTTTGTTATAATAGCAACTCACTTCCAGGTATTAAAATCTGTCTTTGTCAGAGTTCAGCCAGAGAAACAGGCAGCAGGAGATGTATAGTAATCGATTTATTGCAAGGAAATGACATATTCAGTTGTGGATGGTGGCTAGACAAGTCCAAAATCTGTACAGCAGGCAGTTGGGAGGGGCAGGCTGGAATTCTGGGGCATAAACTGAAGCTGCTGTCCAAAAGTGAAATTTCTTTTTCATCTCAGGGAAGACTTAACTCTGCTTTTCTGGCCTTTCTACTGATTGAAATAGACCCACTCAGATTATCTAGGAGAGTCTCCCTATTTTAAGTTTAGCTGATTGGCAACCTTAATTCCATTTAAACCTTAATTTCTTTGCAGTATAACATGTTCATAGGTTTCAGGCATTAGGGCACGAATATCTTGGTGGTCATTATTTTGCATGCAATACCATTCTAGAGTATCTGCAAAGTTGAGAAACTCCTGGAGAGAGAAGAGTCCAAACAAGCGAGCAGATGTTTTTTCCTCAAATAATTCAACTCCTTCACCAACATATCTTTTAATAAATTTTGTTTGGTTAACTAATATTAATTCTACAATGTATTTTCTTTCAAATTCCTTATCAATCAGAACAATGTCACCATCCAAAGACAAATAGTTGTTGGCATACTGTATCATCAGAAGCTCCTTGAAGTCCAGAATTTGGAACTCTGTTAAGATTTTCCTACTGTGACAAGAGGAAATTGTAGGAGATGCATTACTTGGTCCTAGCGTCTATTGGCTTTATAGAAACACCTTAAACACAGTAAATCTGGGTATTGAAAAACCTGTCCAGCACTCTTAATAGGATCATAATTTTAGAGAGAGATAAGGAAGAACCCATTAGTCTTTTCTATGTTAATTTACATGAGAAAGAGTACATTATGCAGATATATTTTATGAGATGACATATGTGTTTTAGAATGAAAATCTAATGCTTACAAGTGTGATCTCGAAAAGAGTAGCTTAAAATTATCCATATATCTCACTAGTGAAAAAACAAAACTTCACGTAGGAAGCTTGGAAAAACTACACGTAGATAAATGTGAAATGATTCCACCCCAAACTTCTATCAAAAAGTCAGAGCTGTGTAAATTAAAAAACTAAAAAAAAACTTTAAAAATGAAATACGACTTCAAAAATCATAAATTCTTATGTAGTGTCATATAGTGTGAAAGGTATTTTCAAAATTAGAGTTATGTTTACTAGTTTGGGTTAACTTTCGTATTACCCTTCAGGAAGAGATACTATAAATTTATTCAGGAATGTGAAATTTCCTGATATAAAATATTTATAATAATTAAATAACTTGAAAACTAATTATATAACAACCAGGCTAACGAAATGAGTAACATTACTAAGGACAATAGAAATTTTTTTAAAAAGTGGAATTAAAGATTACTACCGGTTTCACGAAAACAAACTGAAAAGTGAGAAAGACAGAATTAATTTTAAAGCTTCAGATACTACATTATTCTAGAAATTCTGATTTCCTCCTAGACTCCTGGCTCAGAATATTGGGAAATACAGGCTTCAAGAACTTGAATTCATTACTCTCAGAGCCTCCCGACAGACACACCTCGTACTGGTAGCTCTGGCATAGGGTCCCGGTGCCGCTCACATCCACCAGATGCCCTGGAAAGGGGCCCTCGGGCACCGAGCAGCGACCCACAGAGGCCGCCCTACTCCTCCTGCACAGCCGCACCGCCACGAACAGGAGCACCGAGAACAGGAAGAGCGACGACACAGAGGCCAACGCCACCACCAGATAGACGGTGAGCGAGTCGGCCTGGGCCGGGGCCGGGGCCGCCTCCGGGAGCTGCAGGTAGGGCTGGGAGAAGCCGTCCACCAGGAGCACGTGCAGCGTGGCGGTGGCCGAGCGCGGAGGCTCGCCATTGTCCTTGACCAGCACCAGCAGCCTGTGCTTGGCCGCGTCGCGCTCGCTCAGCAGCCTGGCGGTGCGCACCTCGCCATTGTGCGCCCACACGCCGAACAGCCCGGGCTCCGTGGCCTTGAGCAGCTGGAACGACAGCCAGGCGTTCTGGCCCGAGTCGCCGTCCACCGCCACCACCTTGGTCACCAGGTAGCCCGGCTCGGCCGCCCGGGGAACCAGCTCGGTGCAGGGCGCGGAGCCGTTCTGCAGCGGGTACAGCACGAAGGGCGAGTTGTCGTTGGCGTCCAGCACCAGCACGCGCACCAGCGCCTCGCTGCTCAGCGCCGGGGAGCCGCCGTCTGTGGCGCCCACGCGGAACTCGAACGCCTGCAGGGCCTCGTAGTCCAGCGACCGGAGGGCGAACAGGTGTCCGTTGTCCGCGTTGATGGAGACCAGGGAGGCGAGGGCCAGGTGCGTGTCCTGGGGCGGCAGCAGCGAGTAGGTGACCTGTGCGTTGGTGCCTGAGTCTCTGTCTGTGGCGCTGACGGTGCCGATGTGCAGGGCGGGGCTGTTGTTCTCGCGGACAAAGAAGGTGTAAGAGGTTTGTGTGAAGGCGGGGGCGTTGTCATTGACGTCGGAGACCTGCACGGTTATGCTGTGCTCGGTTTTAAGCCTTGGAGTCCCCAAGTCAGTGACGGTGATGGTGATGTTGTACTCGGCTCTAGTCTCTCTGTCCAGCGCTCCTTCTGTTACCAGTCTGTAGAAATTCTCAACAGAAGGTTTCAGCTCAAAAGGAACATCATCCTGAATTGAGCAAGTCATTTTTCCATTTTCCCCAGAGTCTCGGTCTCGAATCCTAAACAGGGCCACTTCTGTCTCTGGAGAATTCTCGGGAATAGGGCTGGTAAGTGATGAAATAGTTAGTTCTGGGGAGTTATCGTTAACATCCAGTACCTTGACAGAGACAGAGCATTTTCCAGAAAGTCCCCCGCCATCAGACGCCTCAATATCTAGGTCATATGAGGACGTTGTCTCAAAATCTAGTTTTTTAATTAGTCGAATTTCTCCTGAGATGCTGCTTAGCTCAAAAGGTTTGCTTGTCGCTTGAGAGCTGTAAAAAAGGGAGTATGATATCTCTCCGTTTGTCCCAGTGTCTAAATCCCTAGCAGAGACCTTGACAACTAGGGAACCTATGGGGCTGTTCTCTGGGACCTGCACCTCGTAGAGCGCCTGCGCAAACACCGGGGCATTGTCATTGGCGTCCAAGACCAAGACGAGGATCTGGGCGGTGCCAGATCGGGGTGTAGAGCCACCGTCCAGCGCTGTCAGGGTTAATCTGAGCTCGGCCTGCTCCTCGCGATCCAGTTCTGTGTCCAGCACCAGCTCTGGGTATTTCCTGCCATCCCCTTGGATGCGAGTGGAAACATGGAAATGAGAGTTGGGAGAAATACTGTAGTTTTGAACGTTGTTGCTGCCCACGTCCAAGTCCCAAGCTTTTTTCAGAGGAAACACAGTCCCAGGGGAGCTAATTTCTGGGATTTTCAGGGTAATTTCTTTTTCAGGAAACTCAGGAGAATGATCGTTTATGTCTCTCACTAGTAGTTCAGCTCGAAATACTTCCAAAGGCTTTTTCAGTAACACTTGGAAATTCATTATACAGGGCTCGGTGGGGCCACACAGCTCCTCCCGGTCCAGCTTCTCGTTTAATATCAACTGCCCGGTCTGCAGATCAAGCTGCAAGCCTCGTTCGTTATCCTCAGAAACTACCCGGGCTCCCCGCGCTGCTAACTCCCGGACTTCCAGCCCTAGGTCATCGGCCAGGTTGGCCACAAAAGAACCTCTCTCTGTTTCCTCCATCACAGAATAGCGACGGGGTTCCCAGCCTGCCAGAGCCAATTCCACTAAAAGAAGGAGAATCAGGACTTGCCTTTGTTCAGGAAAGCGCTCCCCTGCAGGCTCCATCTTTACTTCTGCAAACCCCTTTCAAGGAACCGGGGTCAGAGCTACTTCAGGGAGAGATGGGACAGAGGCAGTGATCGATCTGTCCGTTGATAACCTTCCGGACAAGGGCAATAGCATTCTCCGGAGACACTGGTCCGTGCTCTGCTTTTAGACTGAAAGAGGTCTGAAGTAGCTCGGAGTATTTCCTGGGCTTTTTAATTTTTTCCTTTTTTGAAGCCTTAGCCTGCAGCGCCACCATGCGTTGTCTTTACTTAGAAACAAATTGCTACAATTGATCTGTATTCTGTTAGAAGTTTGGATATTGAGAGGAAATGACGCAATCACATATCACGCAATTATAATTATTCATTTCTTCATTCAAAGGAGTATTATTGCTCTCTATGTGCCAAATTATGAAATACATCAGTAAAAAACCTAGACATGGTCCCCACCCTCCAGAGCCTGTAGTCTGGGTAGGGTGCTCTGAGAGAAACTAAAAGAAGACACAATAGTGATCAGTCATCTTGTAAAAATAATAACACATAGCCACGTGATTTCTTAAAATTTTCTCAGCAAAAAAAGAATGGATTCTTTGATTTGTTTCAAATTCTAGACAGCCTATGTACCAGAATTGGGCTCCCATCGGTTGAATTACATCAAGGAAAAAGCTACAAGTTCATCCCAGTGTGATATCCTTTCTACATAAAGTCAGAGAGTTATGGTTTTATAAAATTTTAAATTGGAAAAATACACATGAGGGAACTGCCTATATCTCTTACTTTGCTTTTCCTTTCTTGCTTTTTTTTCTTCCTTTGAGATGGGGTCTTGCTCTGTTGCCCAGGCAGGAATGCAGTGGCACAATCACTGCTCATTGCAGCCTTGACTGCCCAGGCTCAAGAGATCTTCCCACCTCAGCAACTGTAGCTAGGACCACAGTTGTGCACCACCATGCCTGGCCAATGTTTTAATTATTTGTAAAGATGAGGTCTTGCTATGTTGCCTAGGCTGGTCTCAAATTTCTGAGCTCAAGCAATCCTCCCACATCAGCCTCCCAAAGTGTGGGATTATCAGCATAAGTCACCGTACCCGGCCCTGCCTTTTTTCTCTTGTATTGATTATCATCTGACATAGTAGATGTACTTATTTTAATGTTTCCTTAAGTACATATAATTGTACTTATTTTAATGTTACCTTTCTGTTTCAACCCCAAGTGTTAGAACTTTATTTTGTTCACTGCTGCATCCCCAATATCTAAACTAATCCCTGGCACATAGTCGGTGTTTAATAAATATTCGTTAAATGAATTCATTAATAAATCACAATTAATTAAAAATTCTGACAGATTCTCCTCCTACTATAGAAGTCCCCTCTTCTGCTGAGATCCAAGTTCAATATATAAGATGGATAGACAAAGACAGCATGTCCATAAGGTAGCTATTTCCTATACCCTTTAAATAGTAATTTGAAATAACTCAAAATGACCTCAAATGTCATTTCATTAAGTGACAAAATAGCCTAGCTACCTATAAGCAAGGGATATATTATATAATAAAAAGAAAGAACATAAGAACAAGATTATGCAGACCCTAAAGATAAGGATTATGTCTCTTTTAGGCACACATTTTTCACTGTCAAGGTTTTTTTTTACACTAATGTTATTATGATATGATATTTAAAACTCTTATATAGTAACATTTTCTAACTTTCATGAAATACTTCAAAGACTGTACCATTGGAAAGATCCTTCAGTTCTTCTCAAAATTATATATTCTAGCAAAAGCTAGTGCATGTCCCTTATAGACTACTTATATTTTACAATCTCCTTGATCCCAAATTATTATATTAATATGAAAAGCCACAATAAAAACACAATAGTAAGAAAGATTTAACTTGCCAACAAATGTAAGAATATCTAAACATGCTTTTGACAACAAAAACCTCACTTAGCTGTCTTAATTAGAGGGAAATTTATTAAACAGCACATATTTGTCTCCAAAAACCCAATGGAAAAAGCAGACTTGGGAGGGACTAGAAAATCTAAAACTGGAAAATCTATAATAAGGTCATTCTTTTGGTACCTTCTTTTTTCTTGTCTCTCAGTAAGTTGTCGTTCTATATTTCTCTCCAGGTGTTTAGTTATTCTGGTTATGTTCCTAACAAAGAGACTATATTGTACCTGGTTTCTAAAGCCCCCCCCCGCCTTTTTTTTTTTGAGACGGAGTTTCGCTCTTGTTTACCCAGGCTGGAGTGCAATGGCGCGATCTCGGCTCACCACAACCTCCGCCTCCTGGGTTCAGGCAATTCTCCTGCCTCAGCCTCCTGAGTAGCTGGGATTACAGGCACGCGCCACTATGCCCAGCTAATTTTTTTTTTTTTTTTTTTTGTATTTTTAGTAGAGACGAAGTTTCACCATGTTGACCAGGATGGTCTATCTCTTGACCTCGTGATCCACCCGCCTTGGCCTCCCAAAGTGCTGGGATTACAGGCGTGAGCCACCGCGCCCGGCCAGCCCCCACTTTTTTTTTAAACAGAGAGAATCAGATTAGCCCAAGTTAGGATCATCTTATTTAAGTGTTTCACATCACAGAGCAAGGTGGGTCATATAAAATAAACGTGGCTGAAAAAATACACCTCTGCTAAAGACAGGGAGAAGTTTCCAGAAAAAGATCAGGTGGGCCAGATAGACACCACAAACGGGATCTGTAATTTTAAAATCTTGAGATAATCTGGTAATCATTAAATAATGCTCAGATGGCCGGGCACGGTGGCTGACACCTGTAATCCCACACTTTGGTAGACCGAGGCGGGGGGATCACCTGAAGTCAGGAGTATGAGACCAGCCTGGCCAACGTGGTGTAACCCCAATTCTACTAAAAATACAAAAACTAGCTGGGCGTGATGGCAGGTGTCAGTAATTCCAGCTACTCAGGAGGCTGAGGCAGGAGAATCACTTGAACAGGGAAGGCAGAGGTTACAGTAAGCCAAGATTGTGCCATTGCACTCCAGCCTGGGTGACAATAGCAAAAATCCATCTCAAATATAACAACAACAACAACAATAAAAGTGTTCGAATGTGTTATATAATGAAGATAATGAAAGAAGCAGAAAAGTCTTTAAGTTTGGGGAAAATGTAGTCTTTCCCACTTCATGCTATTTTGAAATAAAGCCATGCAATTTTGCAGACACTTCTTAATTTAAAACTTCAAGGCTTACAGGTAAGCATAAGATAGATTAAACAGAATACGGACTAATAATCACTATATTATCATGCTTGTCCTCTAAACATCAAAAGTTTAGGAAAAGCTTCTGGAAAACAATGAAACAGAATGGGACTGGAGTCTCCAAATCAACAGCCCGTGATTTTGAGAAGTTGATAAACTGAACAAATGCGACTTTTCAGTAATGAGTAAACTCGAAAGTTGTATTCATCAAAATACACATGATAAAAGGAGACTAAATATAAACAAAGAAAGAAAATGTCTAATCTTAACTAGGAAAATGAAATCAGCAAAATCTTAGAAAATTTATATAGACCAAAAGACATAACAGAGACTTAATAGATTGAGAAAGAACTAACCTTTATCCTAAATGCTCTGAAAAAGCTACATTCCTAATTGAATCCAAAACCATTTACAAAGTTGGACTTTCCCTCCCGTCATTCATAGAGTTCAGATACTCAGGGATAACTGACTTCAGGAATTTGAACTCATTTGTCCCAGAACCTCCTGACAGACACACCTCGTACTGGTAGCTCTGGGACAGGGTCCCGGTGCCGCTCACGTCCACCAGATGCCCTGGAAAGGGACCCTCGGGCACCGAGGCCGCCCTGCTCCTCCTGCACAGCCGCACCGCCACGAACAGGAGCACCGAGAACAGGAAGAGCGACGACACAGAGGCCAACGCCACCACCAGATAGATGGTGAGCGAGTCGGCCTGGGCCTGGGCTGGGGCCGCCTCCGGGAGGGGCAGGTAGGGCTGGGAGAAGCCGTCCACCAGGAGCACGTGCAGCGTGGCGGTGGCCGAGCGCGGAGGCTCGCCATTGTCCTTGACCAGCACCAGCAGCCTGTGCTTGGCCGCGTCGCGCTCGCTCAGCAGCCTGGCGGTGCGCACCTCGCCATTGTGCGCCCACACGCCGAATAGCCCGGGCTCCGTGGCCTTGAGCAGCTGGAACGACAGCCAGGCGTTCTGGCCCGAGTCGCCGTCCACCGCCACCACCTTGGTCACCAGGTAGCCCGGCTCGGCCGCCCGGGGCACCAGCTCGGTGCAGGGCGCGGAGCCGTTCTGCAGTGGGTACAGCACGAAGGGCGAGTTGTCGTTGGCGTCCAGCACCAGCACGTGCACCAGCGCCTCGCTGCTCAGCGCCGGGGAGCCGCGGTCTGTGGCGCCCACGCGGAACTCGAACGCCTGCAGGGCCTCGTAGTCCAGCGACCGGAGGGCGAACAGGTGTCCGTTGTCCGCGTTGATGGAGACCAGGGAGGCGAGGGCCAGGTGCGTGTCCTGGGGCGGCAGCAGCGAGTAGGTGACCTGTGCGTTGGTGCCTGAGTCTCTGTCTGTGGCGCTGACGCTACCGATGTGCAGGGCCGGGCTATTGTTCTCGCGGACAAAGAGGGTGTAGGAGGTTTGTGTGAAGGCGGGGGCGTTGTCATTGACGTCGGAGACCCGCACGGTTATGCTGTGCTCCGTTTTCAGCCTAGGAGTCCCCAGGTCCGTGGCTGTGATGGTGATGTTGTACTCGGCTCTAATCTCTCTGTCCAGTGGTCCTTCTGTTAACAACCTGTAGAAATTCTCAACGGAAGGTTTCAGTATGAATGGAACATCATTTTGAATTGAGCAAACTATTCTTCCATTTTCCCCAGAATCTCGGTCTTGAATGCTGAAAAGAGCTACCGTGGTCTCGGGAGAATTTTCGGGGATGGGGCTTCTGAATGAAGCCATGGTCAGTTCTGGGGCATTGTCGTTGATATCGACCACCTGTATTTTGACAGTGCATTTTCCAGAAAGACCTGCCCTATCAGAGGCTTTAATATCCACCTCATATGCCACAATTTTTTCAAAATCTAATTTTCTGATTATTTTAATTTCTCCCGTTCGTTCATTAAGTGCAAATGTCTTGGAAATCTCTTCATCGCCGTAAAAAAATGAGTAGAATATTTCACCATTAATTCCCACGTCTAAATCCCTAGCAGAAACAGTGGCAACAAGGGATTCCAGGGGGCTGTTTTCTGAGATCTGCACCTGATAGAGTGGCTGCACAAACTCAGGTGCATTGTCATTGATGTCCAAGATTTCAACGAGGACCAGAGCAGTCCCAGTTCTGGGAGGAGCCCCACCATCTACTGCCATGAGAGTTAACCTAAGCTCAGCCTGCTCCTCCCGATCCAGGGCTTTGTGCAGAACTAGCTCTGGGTATTTTCTGCCTTCACTGCCATTTTGGGTGAGAACGTGGACATAGGAGCTGGGGTAGATGATGTAGTTTTGAATGTTATTGATGCCCACATCCAAATCTTGTGCATTTATCAGAGGAAACACAGTTCCTGGAGGAGTATTTTCCATGATTTTCAAAATCATTTCTCCTTCTGGGAACACAGGGGAATTGTCATTTATGTCACTGACCAGAAGTTTAAACCTATATATCTCCAAAGGTTCTTCCAGTAACACCTGGAATTGCAGCACACAAGGCTCAGTGGTGCCACACATTTCTTCCCGATCCAGTTTATCATTTACTTGAAGGTCTGCGGTCTGAAGGTTTAGCTGAAAATATTTTTTGTTATTGTTAAAAATAACCTGAGCCCTCCGCTGGGATATTTCTCTTATTTCTAGCCCTAGGTCCTTTGCTAGATTGGCCACAAAAGAACCGCTTTCTGTTTCTTCTGCTACAGTATAAACGTTCCGCTCCGCGCAAGTCTGAGACAGCATAACAAAGAGAAGCAGAACTTGCCTTAGTCTAGGAAAGTGCTCCTTTTCAGCCTTCATTTCTCCAACACCAACAGCCTTCAGGGTCCGGATGCCTGTGTTGTGTCGGTAGGCAATCGGCTCTTGGAATCAATCCTTGCCGCAACGGCAATTTTCGGTTAAGAAACTCCCTTCTCTTTGATAGATCTATACGTGACTGTCTGAATTGTAACCAGAGACGTAACCTGCAAGCCTGTTTTCCCGCAGCCTTAGCTTACAGCGCCACCATGTGTTGTACTTAAACCTAGTTTGCTAAGCATTCCACAAAACATGTATTCTACTTTCTTAGAGTTGGGCAAAAATCATGGATTATGTATACGGGGTGGCTTATAAATTAAAATTCTGCCTTCTACTATCCTGTGAGATTATGAATGTGGAAGTGGTACCTGACCCTTTGGGAAATGATGCAAGTGCAAAGTTAACTAAATTTGTTTATTCAACAAATACTTATGATTTCAGATTATGTGCCAGTCACTGTACTAAGTACTGAGAATACAAATCCCTTCTATGTCCTCATGGAGCTTACAATATAATGTCTACTATGTTGTATAGTGGAGGTTCTGGGGAAATTAAGCAGAAAAAGGTGTGCAGTTATTAGCCCATTCCTAAAAAAAGTATGTATCCCATTAAACTCTTAACTCACTGCTAGCAGAATAGATGAAGAGATTCATTCTCACATTTCAGGAGTATAAAGTTAAGTGATGTACTAGCTCAAGCTAGTTTATTATGCAAACTCAATGGGTAGCTTAAGGAGTTGTGGATAACTTATTTGTGAATATTGTGTAAGAACCGTGAGCTTGTTATGTTGACTTGTTTTTATCTAAAATAACTCATAAAGAGCATCACCATCTATTGTTAATACTGAGATACACACATGTTGAAGCTGAGAGTCAGTCACTGATATTTTGAAGAGGGAGACAGCCAAGATGACTGATATAATGACTGAAGTTAAAGTAAAAAGCAAAATGCAGAAGAAAATAAGTTCACCTGAAATAGCTGGTTAACTAGAGAAGATCTCAACTCATTTTTAGTAAGCAATCACATATCTCTTGTGGATTCCTTGGAATCCTGAAATGCTAGCATGGAACCAAAATTCTCTTACTTCTAAGGAAAAGGAAAGCAACTTGGGGTCTTCCCAATGGCACCAACTTTAGACAATGTTTTACTCACAATGTTTAAATAATAGACACTACTATGTGTTCTGGCATTCTAATTCCCTAGCTAACTGTGAAAACTAAAGAAGAACCAAATAAGAATTGTGTGTTTCATATTGGTTTAATTCTCTTAAGGTATAAATCACTCAAATCAACATTCTATTTTAGAATGTTTCCTTCTATACAAACAACTTTGATTAAACTTCAAAATATGTGAGAACATGCCAGTCACAGTCAAAATCTGATGAACAATTTTCCTTAAGAAATATATTGGTCATGGATCCAAATTCATTATTATGAATTTACATGTCCAAGAAAATGTGTCTGAATGTCTATGCAGTTTTGAATACTAATGGGATAGAATCTTGTACCTATGTCAGTAACCTAATGGATCAAAGTTAGTTTTTCATTCCCATCTTTCATCTCTTGCATACATTTTCTTCTTTCTAAGATCTTAGCTCCTAGGCTTGGCAGAAACTTAAATTTTTTTCATTAGGCTTTCTAGCAATAGAGTATATCAATTAAATAATATTTATTTCTATAACTGAAGTCATGAATCAAACCATATGTTCTTTAAATTGGGACTATTTATGGAGCGAAAAGATTTTATGTTATATGACAAAAAATTCTGTTGACACTGAGCTCAGCAAATAATTTTTAAAAGAAAGAGTCTGCTAAGGAGGGTATGAGGATCCTGAGAAAAGGTACAGACACCCAACCCATAACAATTGCAGTGTTATTATTATTTTCAAACTAAAGAATTGTTTAAAAAGTAATCCTGGGACACATAAAATAATGGAGGGAAACTTAAGTTAATAAGACATTTCATAAAGTCCTTTGTAGCATTTATCTGTTGAAAGACCTCATAAATTATTTACAAATTTAAATTTTGTTACATAAGCCTCTAGTATAGATTTGTTATCTCTAAGCTTGTACATCCTGTATTTCATTCATTAAGTTAATATTAGAAGCATACAATAAAAGACCAGGGTTTCATGGTACATAGTCTAATTGAGTACTCAAGGTTGTACATACCTTTCAAGTCTCTTTTAATTTCAAGAATTCCCCTTCAAGACAGGTTAAACAAAAGAATTTTGCTATTAGCAATAGAATCTGAACCCAAGAGCAATTAGACACTGGGGACTTAGGAGGAACTGGACTTAGGTGGACAGGTCTAGAACTAAGTAGCTATCTTAGTCTCTACTGTTTCCTAGGCTTCTGCCTCCTCCTTTCACTTTTACTCTTTCCTTCCATTTTCTCTCCTTCTTTTTCTTTCTATCTAGAAACCATTCTCAGCTTCCAGTTACACAAGTATAAACATGGCTACCTCAGCCTATGCTCAACACTTATTCAAGAGGAAAAAGTGTTGAATTATATCTCAATCACAAATTTAGGGGTTTGGAGAATGTGGCTATTCTAGCTGAAATCAAGAATCTATCACAGGACCAATAAAAAATGATCAGGGCTCATGCCTATAATCCCAACACTTTGGGAAGCTGAGGTGGTAGGATCACTGGAGCCAAGGAGTCCAAGACCAGCCCATGTGACTTGGCAAGACCCCATCTCTTTAAAACAAGCAAGCAAACAAACAGAAGAAGAAGGAGGAGGAGGAGGAGGAGGAGAAGAAGGAGAAGGAGGAGGAGAAGGAGAAGTGAGAAAAGAAGGCCTACAATGGAATAAGCATCACACTAGTGATCACTTCTCTTGGGTAGTATAGAGAAGTTCTCAGACAAGAAAGGAGCATGAGCTGTATATATATATATATATATGGAGGAAAAACACCCTAAGTACAGGAAAAATTTTCTGCAACGTTTGCCAGAAAAGTAGAATGTAAAGATTATAGATTTTTTTTAAAAGAGAAACTTAAACAAGATAACATTTTTAAAACTAACCTAACCAGATAACAAGCAATTATGTTTAGATTCATATCATGTCTGTAATAATATTCTCAATCATGCAAAAACTGTTTCAGTTAGAGGATCCACAGTCAGAACACCTAGAAATATGAATGAGCCCAATGTGCCATTAAACTTGAAGGAAAAATAATGTGTATGTGAATATATTATTTGAGGTTGCATTTGGGAACAAAGACTAAGCAAATTCTAGCTCATTTTTTTCACAGTTAATAAAAACAACAAAAAATAGACTTAAATTCCTTACTGAAAACTCTTCAGTAAAATGAAGTTACCCAAAATGAAAAACTACCTAACAAAAAAAATGAATAAGATTTCAGGGCCGGGCGTGGTGGCTCACACCTGTAATCCCAGCACTTTGGGAGGCCGAGGCGGGTGGATCACAAGGTCAAGAGATTGAGACCATCCAGGTCAACATGGTGAAACCCCGTCTCTACTAAAAATACAAAAAATTAGCTGGGCATGGTGGCGCGTGCCTGTAATCCCAGCTACTCAGGAGGCTGAGGCAGGAGAATTGCCTGAGCCCAGGAGGCGGAGGTTGCCGTGAGCCAAGATTGCGCCATTGCACTCCAGCCTGGGTAACAAGAGGGAAACTCCGTCTCAAAAAAAAAAAAAAAAAAAGATTTCAAAGAAATATGCTCATTCTAAAAGTTCTGCATCATAATCAGAATCCTAATTGAATTCCATGCCATTCAGAAAGGTGGGGCTTTCTCCATTTCGCCTCCCCGGGGCACCAGATTGGGAATTATAGGTTTCAGAAACTTGAACTCATTTGTCCCTGAACCTCCCGACAGACACACCTCGTACTGGTAGCTCTGGGACAGGGTCCCGGTGCCGCTCACGTCCACCAGATGCCCTGGAAAAGGGCCATCAGGCACCGAGCAGCCACCCATCGAGGCCGTCCTGCTCCTCCTGCACAGCTGCACCGCCACGAACAGGAGCACCGAGAACAGGAAGAGCGACGACACAGAGGCCAACGCCACCACCAGATAGACGGTGAGCGAGTCGGCCTGGGCCGGGGCCGGGGCCGCCTCCGGGAGCGGCAGGTAGGGCTGGGAGAAGCCGTCCACCAGGAGCACTTGCAGCGTGGCGGTGGCCGAGCGCGGAGGCTCGCCATTGTCCTTGACCAGCACCAGCAGCCTGTGCTTGGCCGCGTCGCGCTCGCTCAGCAGCCTGGCGGTGCGCACCTCGCCATTGTGCGCCCACACGCCGAACAGCCCGGGCTCCGTGGCCTTGAGCAGCTGGAACGACAGCCAGGCGTTCTGGCCCGAGTCGCCGTCCACCGCCACCACCTTGGTCACCAGGTAGCCCGGCTCGGCCGCCCGGGGCACCAGCTCGGTGCAGGGCGTGGAGCCGTTCTGCAGCGGGTACAGCACGAAGGGCGAGTTGTCGTTGGCGTCCAGCACCAGCACGCGCACCAGCGCCTCGCTGCTCAGCGCCGGGGAGCCGCGGTCTGTGGCGCCCACGCGGAACTCGAACGCCTGCAGGGCCTCGTAGTCCAGCGACCCGAGGGCGAACAGGTGTCCGTTGTCCGCGTTGATGGAGACCAGGGAGGCGAGGGGCAGGTGCGTGTCCTGGGGCGGCAGCAGCGAGTAGGTGACCTGTGCGTTGGTGCCTGAATCTCTGTCTGTGGCGCTGATGCTGCCTATGTGCAGGGCGGGGCTGTTGTTCTCGCGGACGAAGAGGGTGTAGGAGGTTTGTGTGAACGCGGGGGCGTTGTCGTTGACGTCGGAGATCAGCAGGGTTATGTTGTACTCCGTTTTCAACCTGGGTGTCCCCAAGTCGGTCACGGTAATGGTGATGTTATATTCATTTCTGATCTCTCTGTCCAGTGGGCCCTCTGTTACCAGAGCGTGAAAATTCTTGAAGGTAGGCTTCAAGAGAAAGGGGATGTTGTCCTGAATTGAGCAAACCATTCTCCCATTGTCTCCAGCGTCTTGGTCTCGTATGCTGAAAACAGCGACCACCATCTCAGGTGAAGAGTTTTCTGGTATGGGGCTAGTAAGAGATGTCATGGCTATCTCTGGCGGGTTGTCATTCACATCTACAACCTGAACTAAAATGCTTGCTTTTCCAAAAAGGCTCCCACCGTCAATGGCCTGAATGTTTATGATATAAGATTGAATAATCTCGAAATCTAGAGGTGCTTTTAAATAGACTTCGCCAGAAATTGGATGGATTTCAAATGTTTTCCGTACATCTCTGGAGATGTGGGAAAATGAATAAGACAGCTCTCCATTTATTCCTGTATCTAAATCTGTAGCAGATACCTTGACAATCAAGGAGTCCAGAGGGCTGCTCTCAGGTACATGAACCTCATAGACTGGCTTCTCAAATTCGGGGGCATTGTCATTTATGTCCAGGACCACAACGTGAATCACTGTAGTCCCAGACCTGGGTGGAGACCCACCATCCACGGCTGTTAACGTTAAACTAAACTCAGCCTCCTTTTCTCGATCCAGGGATTGGTTCAGTACCAACTCTGGATATTTTCTGCCTTCATCACTGTCTCGTAATTTAAGATGGAAATGGGAATTGGGGCTTATTGTATAGTTTTGAACACCATTCTTTCCCACATCCAAGTCCTGTGCACTATCTATTTGGAATAAAGTTCCTAGAGTAGTACCTTCAGAGATTTTTAGAAGTATATGCTTTTCTAGGAACGTGGGAGTATGATCATTTATGTCTTTGACCAAAAGCTCAGCCCGAGAAAATTGCAAGGGATTTTCAAATAACACCTGGAAATGCAATATACATCGCTCTGTGAGATCGCAAAGTGCTTCCCGGTCCAGCTGCTCATTTAAGAGCAAGTCGCCATTCCGTGGATCCAACCGCAAATAAGGTTTATAGTCGTCAAAGATGACTCTGGCCCCCCGTGCAGCCAGGTCTTCCACATCCACACCCATGTCTTTCACCACGTTGGCTACAAATGTGCCGACCTCCATTTCCTCTGCTACGGAATAGCTCCAGGTCTTAGAACATACCAAAGACCCTCCCAGGAAAACAAAGAAAAGCAGCACTTGCCTTGTCCGCTGGGCTCTTGCCTTTGCAGGCTCCATGGCTCCTTAGCTAAACGTCTTTCTGGCGAAAACGTTTCAACTAAATCAACTAGCAGCTCTGAAAGTTGCTCCTCTCACCTATCAGCCTGGACCTTTGGGAATCTAGAAATCTGTAATCCTGTCGCGAAGGTGTTGATGGTGTTCTGCCTTTTGAAAGCCTCTTTTCTCCTGGTTTTCCAGTGCTTTCCCAAGGGTAAGGGAAAACAGCGCATCCGCCGTGTTACAAAAATTTCACCATCTTATCCTGCAGCGCCACCATGCGACTCTGCAGATTTTCAGGTTTTAGATAAAGTCAAGTAAGTTTCATACAAAATATTACTTTTTCTTGTGTGCTTGTTGATAAATTTAAATTATATTCTCCTTCTATATGCCTATTTTCCGAGTTGCATTTTTGTGATATGTGATGCTATTACCTACCTATCCATCATCAGCCACAATCTGCTACAGCCATGATAGATAGAAGAAGCATATTTAAGATGTAGACCCTGCCTCAAACGAGTTATGATCTGTCTGAGAAGACAATATATTAAACAACTGAAGGTAGTGAAGAATACTCTTACATGTAATTGGCTTAGTAAGCAAGAGATTTTATAGGAAAATTGAAAATGGGAATTAGAGATCTTAGCTTGCTCAACAACTACCCTTAGAAAAGAAGAATGTCTTTGTGTACTTGAAAGTGAACCTGGTATATGGAAATAGTTGCTTTGAAGAGGTTAGACATTTTGAGCTGGGTAACTGGTATCATTTATTTATGGATACTCAGTAGGAGACTTAGCTGGCAAGAGTAGAAAATAAATGCTCAAAAGTAGTGAGCCAAGTAAAACATTTCTAGTTTTTAACCTAAAAGCAAGTCCAGTTCAACATTTTAAAAAATGTGAACAAATTGGACCTCAGTTTAGTTGTGAAACTGAATTTCATCATTTGCAGACGCAGGCTTTCCAGAGGCACAATTCTAAATATGTTTATCTATGTATTAATTAATTGGTTTAACAGATATTTATTGATAATATACTTGATGCAAGGAATGGTCATAAGTGTTAGGGATAGAATGGTAAACAGACAGACCTAATTCCTGCCATGCAAGAGGGAGACAGAAAAATGACCACATATTTTAAATAGAGCACAATGAATGTCATGATAAAGAAAGTTTATGCTACTACAAGGGCATCGATGATGCTCATCTAACCAGAATTTGGAAATACAGGACAAACTTTTCTGGAGAAAGCACATTCTAAATGGATACATTAAAAATTAGTAGGAATACTTTAAACAAAAATTGGGTATGGAGTAAAATTGTTAAGGCAAACTAAAAACATGATTGTGTAGATCCAAATAAGAAGTATTTGGAGGAACTATAATAAGGTCAATATGGCTAAGACATAGAGCAAGAGGAGAGAAATGGTAAGAGTTGAAATTGGAAAGATGACCAAATATTTTGTAAGCTATGCCAAAGCATTTGGACTTTACACTAGTAGAAATGTAGACTTACAGGCTGGGTTCGGTGGCCCACACTTGAAATCCCAGCACTTTGGGAGGCTGAGCCAGGTGGATCATGAGGTCAGGAGATTGAGACCATCCTGGCCAATATGGTGAAACCCTGTCTCTACTAAAATACAAAGAATTAACTGGGCATAGTGGCGAGAGCCTATAGCCCCAGCTACTCTGGAGGCAGGGGAATCTGCTTAAACCCAGGAGGCAGAGGTTGCAGTGACTCAAGATTGTGCCTCTGCACTGTGGTGACACAGCAAGACTCTTTATCAAAAAAAAAAAAAAAAGTAGGGTTATTAAAGGGATTATAATTAAAACAGAAAAGTGACGTGATTATGTTTCTACTTTAAAAAAAGATTATCCTGTTTTAGAGTTGAGAATAAATTCTAGAGGAATACGATTAAAGGTGAGAGATTGATTACAAATAGTTGCAATAATACAAGCAAGAGTAAATAGTGGCCTCAACTAGAAATGTGATGAAGGGGTTGTATTAGAATAATAAAACAATAGGGGGTGGGGTGATAAACAGGGATTGGAATAGAAAGGAATGAAGATAAATGTACTTTGTCTTCAGGCTTAGGGAACTGAGTGAGTGTTGGTTCTATTAACTGTTAAACACAGGAAGAGCAGAAGAAACAGGAACAGATATGGAGCTGGAGAAGATACATTGTTTTGAGGAAGGGAACAATTTTAACTTAAAATTGTTGAGTTTGAGCATCCACATAGATAATTATATAAATTAGCTTCTATTACATAAATATAGTTAAGGAAAGACGTTTGGGCTACAGAGTCACTTTTGAGATTTACTGGCATAAATGGTGATTAAAACCCTTCATGAAAGATAATAAGTTGCAGATTATAAGAAGTATATTTGTGTTTGTGATTTCAGACGTGATGTAATTTTCAGAGACTACCATCTCCAGAGAGTGGCCATGGTCATAGGTTACTAGGCTAGAGTAGAAGTGAACGTCACTAGAGATGAAGAAGGCTAGAAACAGAGAGGTCCCAAACTCTTAGATCCAGAGATGTCGCAAGGGATGGGCAAAGAGGAAAAGGATAATAAGTTACATTTAAGAGATAAAATGTCTATACACTACTTTGTTCCTGTCATCTGGAATAATTTAGAATTAAACTGTTATCAAGTTGATTTCACGCTCTCATTTGATGACTCTTAAATGCAAAGACTATTTAGGTAGAAAGATTTACTAATTTCAGCACATTAAGGATTTATTACTTTCCATTATTTTCCATTGCTACTGTTGAGAAACATGGAGCATAGCTGTCAGTCTGTCATGTGTTTGAGAGTTCAATGTCCTTTTCCCTTGGCTTTTGGGGGAAAAAAAGAGTTTCTTTTTCTGTGGTTTTCTGAGCTTTCAATATAATGTTTCTAAATATGGATATCTTTTAAAATTTATCCTGTTAGGTTTATTTAGGTCTCTTAAATCTGCTTATTGATGTTTTCATCAATTCCGAAGAATTCAAATTATTATTTCTTTAACTATTGCTTCTGATACATTTTTTCTCACATCTCCTTGGGTTCTGGTTAAACGTAAGTTAAATTGTTTTTACTCTGTCCTCTGTTTCTAATATTCTCTTCTGTATTTTTCATCTTACCAACTTCCTAAGCTATATATTGGATAAATTATATCCTAATCTATCTTTCTCTTCTGTGGTTATTTGTTTAGTTGTATCTGATTTTCTATTAAATCTTGTAGTCAGTTTAAAATTTTGATTATGATATTTTTTCATTTCTAGTTCTATTTTATTTTCTAATCTGTCAAATTTTATAATATTTTGTTCCCTGTACATCTTCAAGTTTAACTTTTATTTCAATTAAAGTGCCTAGCATATTATAGACTGTGTCTGATAGTTACAATATTTGAAGTGCTTGCAAGTTTATTTTTATGTTGCTTTTTTTTCTGCTGGCTCTCCACATAGTGTCATGCTCCCTTGTGTATGCAGTTATCTTTGTTTATGTTAAGAACATAAAAAATTAGTTGAATGTTTTGAGGCTTAGAGCGAATAAACATTCGAGCATTGAAAACTAAGAAGTCACATTCACATTCACTATAGGAAGTCACATTTCATAAAAGATCTGCATTTGATTCTATCAGTTCCTGGGAGTACTACCTGTCAACGATCACCTTAAATCAAATTTAAGGCTAAAAATCAAGTTCAAGGCTGAAATTCCCCCACAAGAGCTCATCCACTTCCAGTTTACTTTCACTCCAAGGGTTTGGCTCTTAGGGATCCAGGCTTATTAATAGAGGTTCAAGTTTTCCAGGATTACCAAGGAAAAAGTAGATTTCAGGCTTACTTATCTCTCCGGGTTTCCTTTTAACATTAACTCTAATCAGACAATATATTCCATGTCTTAATGGCTAATTGTTTTTAGTGAAATCATTGGGCTACATAATTTTTATCATCCTTATTAAAAATATAGTGTCTCAGGGATATTGTTACAACTCAAAACTGCAAGTAAACTCTTAGCTTTCATAGTGTATGGGCAACTGATCTTTCTGGGAGGCTATAAAAATAGTATATATTTTTAAACAACTTCAAATGATCAATACTAAATTAATTCTATAATGATATAATGAATTTAAACAATCTCTTGGAAGAGTCAACTATCATTGGCATTGGTATTCACTCTCACTTCTTTTTGTACCCCATGTTCCCCTATATATACATAAATATCTTCTTTTCTATATTCTCTCTTCTCTTCCTTCAGAATGTATATTTATATATTTGCATATTTCTATAAATATATTTTGTATTATATGTGTGTATAGGCGCATATATATCACTGTACCATAAATCACCATCTCTTTTTTCTTTTTAAACATTTTAGATTTATCCATGTGATTGCATGCTAGCTCCTTTTGATCACTGCATAGTAATCTTTCACTAACAAGTTACACATTTTATGCATTACTTTACAGATGGATATGTAGGTGGAGTCTTACTCTTCACTTTTCCAAGATGAATATTCTCATATATATCATTTTGTAAAGCTTTATAACACTTTTTTGGCTTATGTCCCACAATAGGATTGCTGAATTATAGAGTATATATATATATATATTTTAGTAAAATAATTTTACTATTTTATATATATATATCAAATTTTACTAAATACTATAGGAAGCTCTCTAAATAGGCTGCACATGTGATTTCCTATTATTCCACTTGATATTACCCAAATCTCTCATCTTTACTAATTTTAGTGTATGTTTCACCAACTAAACATCATTTCAAGTTATTTTCAGACTTTCTGCTTTCCCCTTTCTTGAATTCCTTTTTCTTTGTCTTAAAAAATCCTATTGTCTCTCCTGGCTTTGTTGGTGTTGTTGATTTGCAAGAGTTATTTGAATAATGTAAATATTAATCTTGTCAGTTAAAATACTGCAGGTGGCTTCTCACTGTCATCTGTTAGTTTGTCTGTGCTATCCTTTAATTTTGAGAAATCCACATAACTAACAATTACCTGTTACATTGGAAAGTAAAATCAGTGAAAATTGCATGAAATACAGGAAAAAATTTCTAAGGAAATTGGAATTTATTTCACCTATTTCACAATGGCAAGTGAAATTCCATTATATCTACACTACATCCTAGTTATCAAAATGTCTATCTATACTCTTCTATTGAACTTTCTTTTAGATCTGAGATAAAATTTGTAACATGATGAGGCATCTATAAACCATAAATGCCCACCCATTCCTTCTTTGTAGGCATCTGAGAGAGGCCACAAAGTATTAATGATGTTTTATCTTTACTCAATAATTAATGGGAAAGTGAACCTAAATCATTTTTTAACAGTTTAAATCTTCATTTCAATTTCTTATGAAGCTCTTATTTTGTACTCGTCTGATAGAAAGTTATTTTACCCAGGATAAGACCCTAAACTATTTTCTGTTTTAGCAATAAACAATACAAAATTAAAGTGAATGAAGAGGGTGAGTTTTAAGAAAACTAGGCAGGGTGCAGTGACTCATGCCTGTAATCCTAGCACTTTGGGAAGCCAAAGCAGGTGGATCACTTGAGTTCAGGGGTTTGAGACTAGCCTGGGCTACATGGCAAAACTCCATCTCTACAAAATATACAAAAATTTAGCTGGGAATGGTGGTGGGTGCCTGTAGTCTGAGCTACTTGGTAGGCTGAGGCAGGAGGATGGCTTGAGCCCAGGATGTCAAGGCTGCAGTGAGCCAAGATCCTGCCACTACACTCTAGCCTGGGCAACAAAGTGAGACCTTGTCTCTCAAAAAACAAAAACAAAAAGCTAGCCGAGGTGGGAAGATCTCTTGAGCCAACGAGTTCCAGACCAGACTGGGAAGCATGGCAAGATTCTATCTGTATAAAAAAAGAAAGAAAGAAAGAAAGAAAAAATTAGCTGGTGGCCTGTGCTGTGGTCCCAGCTACTCAGGAGGCTGAGGCAGGAGAATCACCTGAACCCAGGAAGTCAAGGGTAAAGTGAGTGATGATGGTGCCACTGCATTCCAGCCAGGACAATGGATTGAGACCGTGTCTCAAAAAACATAAATAAAATTAAACTAAGAAAACCAAAGAGCAACAGCAAGGCCCAGAGCATTATAAGACTCTTACTCCACAACAGCACTATCAACAAAAGTAGTTACAGAAAAAAAATACTTAAGAAGTTAATAATTTCCACTGTGACCACTTTAGTTTCATCATAAAGTAAATTTTTGAAAAATGAATAAGGTTCTCTAGAACTGAAAATGAAGGGATAGCATCCTTTTTACCCTTTATGGTGAACATTTTCAGAGAGAACAGTGTGATTAATGCACTATATTTTCGACCCAGATTCAGCAACACTTTTTATTTTTACTTTATATTGTGATGGTGTCTAGATTTAAATTACATACATAATGACATTGGCGCTTAATACTTCAGTTTGCATATCCAAATAATTGAGAATATTGTCTTGCATAACAACAAAACCATTATCAGAGCTAAAATAGCAGTAACTCCATTAATATAACATTTTGATCAAATAAATAAAAAAGCAGAAAACACAGATTACATTTCCATGTCATATTAGCAACAATTAAAGATTTTTAGAGCAACTGTGAGAAAAGCAAGAACTATGCATGCAACTACGATACAACCTAGAATCCATAAACGGTTATGCAAAAGTACCATTAGCTTGCCAAGAATAACTAAAAATTAGAAATATAAAATAAATGGTTTCATTGAATGTTAAATCCAAAGCTATTCCGATAGTTCTTGATTTCCCCCATATTCTTACCAGCGTCATGAACTTGAAAACTGGGGATAATTGGCTTCAGAAATTTGAACTCATTTGTCCCGGAACCTCCCATCAGACACACCTCGTACTGGTAGCTCTGGGACAGGGTCCCGGTGCCGCTCACGTCCATCAGAGGCTCTGGAAAGGGGCCCTCGGGCACCGAGCAGCGACCCACAGAGGCCGCCCTGCTCCTCCTGCACAGCCGCACCGCCACGAACAGGAGCACCGAGAACAGGAAGAGCGACGACACCGAGGCCAACGCCACCACCAGGTAGACGGTGAGCGAGTCGGCCTGGGCCTGGGCCGGGGCCGCCTCCGGGAGCGGCAGGTAGGGCTGGGAGAAGCCGTCCACCAGGAGCACGTGCAGCGTGGCGGTGGCCGAGCGCGGAGGCTCGCCATTGTCCTTGACCAGCACCAGCAGCCTGTGCTTGGCCGCGTCGCGCTCGCTCAGCAGCCTGGCGGTGCGCACCTCGCCATTGTGCGCCCACACGCCGAACAGCCCGGGCTCAGTGGCCTTGAGCAGCTGGAACGACAGCCAGGCGTTCTGGCCCGAGTCGCCGTCCACCGCCACCACCTTGGTCACCAGGTAGCCCGGCTCGGCCACCCGGGGCACCAGCTCGGTGCAGGGCGCGGAGCCGTTCTGCAGCGGGTACAGCACGAAGGGCGAGTTGTCGTTGGCGTCCAGCACCAGCACGCGCACCAGCGCCTCGCTGCTCAGCGCCGGAGAGCCGCGGTCTGTGGCGCCCACGCGGAACTCGAACGCCTGCAGGGCCTCGTAGTCCAGGGACCGGAGGGCGAACAGGTGTCCGTTGTCCGGGTTGATGGAGACCAGGGAGGCGAGGGGCAGGTGCGTGTCCTGGGGCGGCAGCAGCGAGTAGGTGACCTGTGCGTTGGTGCCTGAGTCTCTGTCTGTGGCGCTGACGGTGCCAATGTGCAGGGCGGGGCTGTTGTTCTCGCGGACGAAGAGGATGTAGGAAGTTTGGGTGAAAGCAGGGGCGTTGTCGTTGACGTCGGACACCAGCACGGTTATGTTGTACTCGGTTTTCAGCCTAGGCGTTCCCAAGTCAGTGACGGTGATGGTGATGTTGTACTCGGCTTGGCTCTCTCTGTCCAGTGCTTTTTCAGAAACTATTGTGAAAAAGTTCTTGAAGGTCGGTTTCAGGATAAAAGGGAGATTATCCTGAATAGAGCAAATCATCCTCCCATTGTCCTCAGAATCTTGGTCTAGGACACTAAAAAGAGCTACTAGGGTCTCTGAGGCATTCTCTGGAATTCTTTTTGTAATCGACGACATGGTCACTTTTGGTGGGTTGTCGTTTATATCCGTAACTTTAACTAGAAGAGTGCATTTTTCTGAAAGACCCCCACCATCTGTTGCCTGAATATTTATAGTATAGGACTGTATTGCTTCAAAATCCAGGGGTGATCTCAAATTAACTTCTCCAGACATTGGATTGATTTCAAATGTTTTACGAATATCTTCTGATGCATGGGAAAATGTGTAAGATATTTTCCCATAGTTTCCTGTATCCAAATCCTTAGCTGAGATGGTAACAATCCAGGAGCCAAGGGGTCTATCCTCAGGGACCTGCACCTCATAGAGACTCTGAGGAAACTCAGGGGCATTATCATTGATGTCCAACACCTTAATGAGAACCAAAGTTGTCCCAGACCTGGGTGGGGATCCGCCGTCCAGTGCCGTGAGTGTTAATCTGAGTTCAGCTTCCTCCTCATAATCTAAAGCTCTATCTAGGACCAGCTCTGGGTATATCTTTCTGTCACCACTGTCTGGAATTTTAATATAGAAGTGAGAATTGGGGCTAATTGTGTAGTTTTGGAGACTGTTGCTTCCGACATCCAAATCTCGAGCACTCTCCAATAGGAATGTAGTTCCAACAGTGGTACCTTCTGATATTTTAATAAGTATTTCATTGTCTAGGAATGTAGGGGAGTGATCATTTATGTCTTTGACATGCAGCTCAACCTGAAAAAACTGCAAAGGGTTTTCCAAAACCACCTGAAAATGTAGCACACAGGGCTCGGTGGAGCCACACAGCTCTTCTCGGTCTAGTTTCTCATTTAGGAGCAAGTCCCCAGTCAGCAAATCAAGGTGCAAATACTTTTTATTATAATCAGACATTACCCGGGCTTCCCGTGAAGACAGCTCCTCCACCTCCAGCCCTAGGTCCCTCGCCAGATTGGCCACAAAAGAGCCAATTTCTGTTTCCTCTGCAACAGAATAGTGTGCAGATTCAGTACCTGCCTGAGACAATCCCAGCAAAACAAAGAATATCAGAACTTGCCTTTTTTGCAGAGTGAGTGCCCCTCTGATCTTCATGGTTCTTTCAGGCAACCTCTTCTGAAAAAATTCAAGCTCAGCCCCAATTTTGGAAGCTGAAGCTCTGGTTTTTAATAGGAAACCCCTGAAGAGTGTATCCTCCAGCAGCCCGGTAGGCGAATCTCCTTTAATGCCTGTCTTTTCAGTGGGTTGGATGTTTTCTGTTCTCCTGAGTAGTGAAGGTCAACGTGCCAGCCTTTGTACTGTTCTCATCTTATCCTGTAGCGCCACCATGCGTCTTTATGGTTTTTTTCATTTAAAAAGTTTGCCTCTTTGAAAAGCAATTCATAAACACATCCGGAGTATTCAAAATGAATCCCAGACATCATATTTTTTACCTTTAAATACTTCACTACGTATTTCTAATAGATAAGGCCTTTTAAACAATAATTGTAATACAGTGTTCACAACAACTTTAGCAACAATTCCTCGATGTAACTTATACTGCATTTGGCTTTCCCCAGTTCTCTCCAAAATTGTCTTTGCTATTTATTTGTTTTAATTTGAATCCAGAAAAGGTCCATACACTGCATTATCACTGTTTTGAATGCTTGACACAAAAGCATCTGTTAAATAGCCTGAAGAAATAAATTTGTATTTAGTCATTTCTTGAGTAATTACAAATATATTCTCTTCTTCACTCTTGCAAATACTTGTTACATCAATTGTAGTTAGTAATGTCATTACTTTTTTCACTTTTATATTTTAAAAATATAAAGAAAGACATGGCTCAAATAAATTGGAGATAATTCTTGCTATTATGGAGCTCATAAGCTAGAAAACTTGGCATACAAATAACTGAAGTATGTCATAATGTATGCATATATAAAAAGTAATATAGAAATACCTAGAAAGGACATTTTGTAGCTAGAAGGTTGCATACCTTAGTGTTAGAAATATGGGATCTGGAACCAAATTGTCAATATTAGAATCCTACTTCTGTCACTCAGAATCCTACTTCTGTCACACTTCTATTTATAAACTTGGGCAAGTTACAGATACCTTTGTTTCCTCACCCGTAAAATGGGGCAATAATAGTATTTGCCTCTTATGATTATTATCATAGGCATATAATGAGTTATTATTTACAAAGTGGCTTGTAAGTGCTGATTGTCTGTCAAAAAATAAAATAACTAAGATCTAAGTCAGACTTGGGACATCAGTGAAAGCTTTCCTGAGGTAATGAACAATACATTGTCATCTGAAGGAACTAGCCAGGAGAAGGAGGAATATTTAGATGGACATTTTGAGGAACACAGAGAAGTGAAGTGTGTCTTGAACTTTAAAATCCATGGAAGGGGAGAGTCTAAGAATGAAATCAGGGTTAAAAAGCAGGGTGAGAATATGAATCATTATACAGGTCATATCATACATTCTTGCATTTATCTAAAGGTAATTCAAAAACAAAGAAGAGTTTTAACATCTTATTAACATGATCACATCTGCATTAAAAAAATCAGTTTGGCTGCAGTATGGAGAATTAATTTCAGGGGGAATGACTGGGGGATCAAGGAGATCCGATAAGAGATGATGATAGTCTGGCTGAGGGTACTGCCAGTAAGGATGGAGAGAAGAGGGATGAGTAGAAAGGTATTAGAAGATGAAACATTTTCAACTGTTGGTTGATAGACTGCATGGGGAGGAAGAGGGGAAAGACTCAGAGATGATATCCCACCTCTGAAGTGAGCAACTGGATGCCTAGGAGTGCCATTCACAAGGTAGGGAATGCTGAAAAAACATGAATGGGGTGGAAAAGATGAAGTGTTCAGTTTTGAACATGCTGATATTAAGATAAGTGCCTGTAGAATGTGTGTTTGTGGTGTGTGTGTGTGTGTGTGTGTGTGTGTGTGTGTGTTTGCATATAACTGAAGCATAGGAAATAAATCTGGGCTGGAGATATGAACTTTGGGATTAGTCAGTATATATGGTGATTGAAACCATGAAAGCTCTAGGATAACCAAGCAAAAGTATGTCAAATAAGTATAGAAGAGGCTTGGCACAGAAATATGAGAAACATCTTCATTAGAGGAGACAGGGCAAGAAGTATATTTGAAAAGATAAGGAAGGCTCAGAGTTCAAAATCATGAAATCAAAAGCAAATAGGATTTTAAGGAGATAAGGAAGGTCAACAGCTGAAAATGCTTCAGAAAAGTCAAGAAAAATAAGTATGACAATTATCTATTTGACATAAAAAGATGGTCATTGTGGAGGATTCAGATAGATATCTGACAAAATCTGTTTTCCCTTGCTTCTATAGGAATAGAACTATACCCAGGTACATGATCATGAAGATTGATTGCCCATCCCAGCCTCCCTTGTAGTTTTGGTGTGGCCAAGTCAATTAAGTTCCTACAGATGGATTGTGAGCAGAATTTCTGTCTGCCCCTTCCAGGTCTGGAATAGAAATCATCTGGATATGCTTCTTTCTTCTAAGCGAGCTAGAACCTGAATATGGCAGTGACCCAGCTATACCCATGCAGATTATGGTATTGCCATAGGGAATGTTGAAGCAATTACTTGAAAGAAAATTTGATTCCAGAAGGATTGTAAGATCAAAGCTGCCCTACATACCTAATAATTTTTACATTGCTACTGTCATGTGAAAAACAGAGACATGTTAAAGTCACTGTGTCATTGCATCACATTGTTTCCACAGTATAATCTTACTGAACTTGCACAGAAATCTTTGATAAACTTTGCAATAGCAGTTTCAATAGAACGGTTATGAAGAAAATTAGATTTTACTTCACTGCCAAGTGAGAGGAATGAGGAAGCAAAAATGAGATAGCCCTTTCAACAATTTTTTTTTTTTTTAAGTAGAGTCTCCGTCTCTTGCCCAGGCAGGAGTGCAGTGGTGCAATCATGGCTCACTGCAGCCAGGCTCTCAAGAAATTTGTAAAGAATGAACAGGCTGTTAAAGGAATAAGAAATGCATTGGTATCTGGAGAAGAATTCAGACTCAGAGGTTATTTTTTAAGACTAGAGAAACTTGAATATATTTTAAATGCCTATGTGTAATATTCAATAGGGAAGGAGAAAAGATACAGAATAGATAATGCAATTCCCCTAGAAAGGGTATTAAAGATAGGATCCAGGTAATGTATGAAGGGATTGGACTCAGACTGGTGGGAGAGACCACAGCAGGTGAAAAGTATAGATACAGATGCTGTTAAAGCTGTGGAGTAGGGGATAGGAAAATGAATTTCTTATTTTATTTTATTTTTATTTATTTATTTTTAAAGATGGAGTTTCACCATGATGGCCAGGCTGGTCTTGAACTCTTGACCTCAGGTGATCCACCCACCTCGGCCTTCCAAAGTGCTAGGATTACAGGCATGAGCCACCGCGCCCAGCAGGAAAATGAATTTCTAGCTGATGGATTTTATTTTCTCAATAAGGTATTAGGCAAGTTCATCTGCTAAAAGGGGATATGTAAATGGTAGGGTAAGAAGTTTAAAGTAAGATAAGTAGGTTTAAAATAGATATTGTGGTGAATAGAAAAGAGAGCTCATTAGAAAAATTATAAAAGGAGTTCTTGGTTTCAGAAGCCCAATTTAGTTTGAATAAATACATTTATAGTGGCAGTGGCTTTGCTGATTTTGTTAGTATGGTCTTAACAGAGTGCAGCAGCCCAGGTGTAAGAGAGGAGGAGGACTATGTTCATGTGGGCTGAAGTTTTATCAGGTGGTTTTAGTGAAGGAAAATTGAACAAGGGAATTTGGAATACGGGCATGAGAGTGATTGGGAGTGGTAAACCAGGAAATCAGCTGGATAGGAAGGAAATTAGAACAGGAGGGTTTGATAGGTAGTAGCAGCATCATGGAATGGAGCTCCTGATAAGCTCAAAGACAAGATGTGATATGAACAGCAAAATGAGAAGATTATAGGCACAGACAATTGCGCTCTCAGAAGAAGATATTTTAAATTATTATATCATAGAACGGTTTCTAGGTGGGGAAAAAGTACAATATCTAGCCAGGGCATTAATGTCTGAACAACAGGGGTAGAGGTAAAGACCTAGAGACTGAGAGGTCATGTTGTTAGATTAATCAGTGGATTCACTGATTAAGTTCTTTATCTTTCTATTTTGAGTTATTTAATATAACTTATTAAATAACTTATTTCAGTTATTTTCAAGTATCTAGTGGTAGAACTTGAAATAGAAAAATAAAGAGAACAATGTATTTGTAAGATAAAATGTTTTTATGTCCTTTTTCCCCCCCATACCCTTGCCTAATTAAAAAAATCTGTTATTTGGTTTTTATTGTAAGGGTTTTTGAGAGAATCCATTCTGTTAGGCCGGGCCATCTCTTGTGTCTCTGTTTTCTGTGTCCTTTACCCCCACTGGATATAAAATTATGTTCTAAGTTACTTACAACCAATAGTTCTTTCATGTAAAATTGGCTGATACAGCTTGATTCCTATGCACTGTTTTAAATATAACTATAAATGAGGTCTTTGATGCATAAGAGCAAAATTTGTTTTTAGCAATACATTCTAGGAGAATTGGTTGGTTAAATGTATTTAAGCTCCTGGTCACTCTTCATAAGAGCCAGGAAACACATAGTTCTTTTTATAAAGACAGGAGTCCTGCTGCTCATTTATCTAGAAAAACTGGAAGTAATAGGACAAGTACTTGGCCCTTTTCTCCACTGTTGCACCTGCTAGATTTTCTATCTGAGGAATTGAACTACTCTTTCCTCCTCCACCAGTAGAATTAGGCTGCAGTGAGCCATAATTGCACCACTACACTCAAGCCTACATGACCGAGTGAGACCCTGTCTTTAAAAAATAAACAAAGAAAGAAAGAAGAAAAGAATAATTACTCAGTTGACATAGTTCAACAGAACTGGTAGTGAAATCTTAGTAAGAAGTGTAAACATTAGGTTGTCTAAGATATGCTAGAAAGAGAGATTATACTTCTTGGTATTACCAACTGACTAATACCCAGTCCCTCTACAATGTTAGGATGAAGTTTTAAAATATCTTCAAGAAGCAGTTGAGGCCAGGTACTCACACCTGTAGTCACAGCACTTTGGGAGGCGGAGGCAGTGGATTGCTTGAGTTCAATAGCAGTCTGGACAATATGATGAAACCCTATCTCCACTAAAAATACAAAAATTAGTGGATGTGGTAGCCCAGGCCTGTAATCCTGGCTATTTGTGAGGCTGAGGTGGGAGGATCACTTGAGCCCTGGAGGCGGAGTTTGCAGTGATTGGAGATTGCACCACTGTACTCCAGCCTGGGTGACAGAGCAGGACCCAGTCTCAGAGAGAGAGAGAGAGAGAGAGAGAGAGAGAGAGAGAGAGGCAATTGAGTCTATTTTGTGGCATTGGAAAGTCATTTTACTCATCCCCACAAATTTCCTCTTTCCCATGCTTGCTCTCTCTCTCTCTCTCTCACATACACAACTCCTTTGCCTTTATACTCTTACTCATTTTGTTATCCTACATTTTTCTCCCACAACATACAGACTTTATACTTTTTGATAACATTCATGGAAAATCTTCCTACCATGAAGTCTTTTTCTTACATAGTAATGTCAGATCCTCAAAGGCAGGAGTGGTTTAATATGAGACAAACCTACTTCTCTACAATGGTTTGAAAAATTTTTTAAATTAGAACCTAAAGGACTATTTTTGAATACTCTCAGTGTTCAACATCTGGTATACTTTTACATGCTCCAGAAAAGTGGTTTTCAAACTTTGGGCTACTACCCATTAGTATACCATGAAATAAATTCAGTGGATCATGACCACATTTGAAACTTTAATAGAATGAAATAATATAGGTAATTTCAAATTATGTCACAAAAGACTAAGCATTGTTGACAAAATTTCTTTCTTTTAAGCTTGTGTGTTGCCAAATATGTAAAATATTATCTTAATCTTGGTTGTAGTAAAAAAAAGTTTGAAAAATAGTTTCTGGTGTATATACATTATATTTTATGATAGTAAGGGCAAAAAAATTTTAGACATTAACACACAAGTCCACTTTGTGCCATACAAATTATTATTTGGGTACAGGCGTCTGCACTCCACTAGATTGCATTAGGGTCTTGTGACATTAATTAAATAATTATAGTTTCATACCCCTAGATTCTGTGAATGGCCACAATCTTAAGGTGCTTGCATAATCCTCTCCAGGATGAATGAGGAAAGGAAACTAAGAAACTGGTCTTCTAACCCTTTCAAATCAAGTGGTAACACTTAGAGTTGTGTCATAGGATATAGTTTTTCTGGTTTACTTTGGAGAGGTAATAACATATTTAAGGTTAACTAAAAACATACTGGATTAAAAATCACAAATGATGTACCTTAATAGCAATCATTATTTTAAAACTGCAAAAATAAGAAAAATCAAATGAAGAAATGCTGGAAAATTTGAATGACTTCTAAACTGGTCTATT